GGGTATGTGCAACTACCTGGCGAAAGTGTTTGACGACGTATGTGACGGGAGTGGAACATTATTCGTGTCTTGGCTGGCACGTTATATTCCTCAAACCATTTTACCCTTCCATACTAATTTTGGTTCACGCCAATGTAGGGGTGATCACGAGAGCACCCAGACGTAAGTGGATAGATAGATAGATAGATAGATAGATAGATAGATAGATAGATAGATAGATAGATAGATAGATAGATAGATAGATAGATAGATAGATAGATAGATAGATAGATAGATAGATAGATAGATAGATAGATAGATAGATAGATAGATAGATAGATAGATAGGCAGACAGGCGCAGGCAGATAGACAGACAGACAGACAGACAGACAGACAGACAGACAGACAGACAGACAGACAGACAGACAGACAGACAGACAGATAGATAGATAGATAGATAGATAGATAGATAGATAGATAGATAGATAGATAGATAGATAGATAGATAGATAGATAGATAGATAGATAGATAGATAGATAGATAGATAGATAGATAGATAGATAGATAGATAGATAGATAGATAGCATTTTAATAAACTGGGGAAAGACATGTGAACGCATGTGTTCGCGGCGGTCGCTTACGAATGGGTGTAGTTTTTTTTTTTTTTTTGCCCCCTTCTTACATTCTCCTTTCCCATCTGCCCACTGGTACGAGGGGAAAGAGAAAGCGCATGCTTGGAGCGAGCGACAAATCACCGTAACTCCGATCGTACCTGACGGATTCTCAAAATTTTTTGCGGCAGTTGATTCATCAGGCAATGAACTTTTTTTTGCTGAAGCCATTCGACCAATAATCGAAGAAGTGTAACGGGACACCTTTTTAGGAGGTATCGGCCCTGAATAGCTTCGTCATATGCTTCTTGTTTCTTTCAAAATACAGGAAGGAAAAGTCACATAGTTTGTGATGCATTCTCCCAGGCACAACCATTGGGCAATGAAGTGACGCTATGGGATAGTTTCATAAATAAAGTTTATGAAACTCAACTCCCAACTAGTCAACTCCCAAGTTTAACTTGGGACTTCTAACTCCCAACTCCCATGTTTATTAAACTCAACTCCCAAGAAAACTCGAACATGAAAGTCAGGCACGTTTTTCATCTAACTCGGTCCAACGAACGTTTTGACGCACAAGTGTTCTCAGAGCAGCCAGTCGCCTGGCCAGTGCCGATAGCGTCCCCTGCACATGCCTCAAGTTTCGTACACTCCTCATTACTGCACCGACTATTCATAATTACTGTTTGCTCCCTCTAGACCTAATAATGACCATAAATCTGGTAAAACTCGTTCAGGTGTGTCCATTAAATCTAACGCAGCTGCGATTAATACCATTCCCGGTGCGGTCGTTAAATTGTGCTTGCCGTCGACGTGGGCCAACGCTTTCACCGACACGATCCTTCTCTACAAACAACGGTGAATTGCTTACCTTTCGTTTTACTGCGGCGTTTAATTTTCCTGCAAGACGCAGAAAATTATGGGCTTTGTTCAGTGGGTCTGTAGTTTGTTATGCAGTATAAGAAGTGGGTCCCCGAAAAGAGAGTGAACAGAGGAGAAAGGAAGAAGGTCCGGATATGGAGGTGCAACAAAGGGACAGCCTGTGTTATTATGGGCAACCACGCAAAGCAACAGTCTCCTCCTGCAGCGAACGAACGTAGAGCTTTCTTTCAATTATCTCTCAAAAGCAACAAAGAAAATGGATTGTATGGCTGCAGAAGAAGCGATATGCTGAATAAATTAAAGCGAGAGTATGCACTTATTATTGCTAAGACATCTATTGATTTTACTAAAGGCACTAGTGATTATTTATTGCCATTGTTTTTTGAGTGCATGTTTATCCCCCGACGCCCATTGTGGGAAATTAGGTAGGCAGTTTCCGATTACTGGTGAAGTTCGCAAGAACGTATTGCCTCGTAAACATCTGCCCTGTAAACAGAAGCTGCAGTTGAATATTGTTTGCTGGCAATTGTCTGTAAAACGATCATAATCACGGAATCGAAAGTTTTCTTCGAAATACATCAGAGCAAGCATACCACCTAGACACTAGATATATTGCGGCCCCTTTTCAATTATTGCGTTTCCAGAATTCAACTGCTGGAATGCTCCAGCATGGGGCATTCTTTTCTTTTTTAAATGGTGGTGTTTTTTGTCTGATGAAGGAAGAAAATAACATACGTGGAGTACGCGGAGATCAATGGCAAGAAAAATCATGTGCCCCCAATAACGAACAATATTAAAGAGAACTAACACACAATTACGCAGAAGAACGTGTCGGGGATGGTGTTAGAAGTAATTACTTCTAACAACATCCCCTATTTTTTTTTCGCACAATTGTCTGTTTGTTATCATTAATATTGTGTCTAAAAAAGAAAACGAGCCCTCAGAAATTTACCCTTCTTTCCTTCATTCATAAGTAAAGGACAAGAAAGACGGGTTCGTTAGAAAACAAACAGCTTTTATACAAATCTTGGCAGCGAACCAGAAGAAGGAATGGACATGAGCAGGGTATCTAGCACGTAGGCGAGATAACCGCTGGTCATCATGGTAAGACAAGCGCGCGAGGGGTAGACAAAAAGTGGGTGCAGTTGTTTTATCCTTTTGAGGTATAGTGCTAGACTACCATTCATGATTTGAGAATGTTCGCCGAATGCGCTCCATTCCATCCTTATTCTAATTATTTCAGACTCATGGTTCAGCTCTGCGGCTATTACGTGTTCTAAGACGTATTCATTTACAATTTCAAGTGTATCGCCACTTTTTTTATCGCAAAGCTCTGTTTTCTGCCGGAACTGTAGCACATTAGTTTTCTGCGTATTAATTTTCAGACCTCTTCAGCTTTCCGTGTCTAGTTCAGTAATCATGAGCTGTTATTCGTCCCTAGAGTTACTCATCAAACTCTTTCCAATCTAGTGCTCCGAGAACCTTCGGTAAACACGCAGTGAAAAGCATTGGAGAGATCACGCCTCTCTGCCTTACACCTTTCCTTATTGGGATTCTGTTGCTTACTTTATGGAGGATTATGGTGGCTGTAACCCAGTGTAGATTTCTTTGTTTATCTAGGCTCCGGTCATGCACCGATTCCGAAGTACTTGCATTACTGATATTTCGAGCAAATCAAAACCCTCGTAACCTACATGAAGGTACGCATATGAGTTTGTTGAATTCTACGCTTTTTTTATCCTACGATTGCTAGTATGAATATGGTCTATTTTTTTTTCGTACAAAATCTTGCATGGTCCTTTGGTTGATTAAACTCTAATGTCGTCCTAGTTCTATTAGCTATTATTTTTGTAAATAGCTTGTAGACAACGGACAGTAAGCTGTTGTACCTGCAATTTTTCAAGACCTTGACGTCGCTTTTCTCATGAATTAATATGTTGGCATTCTTCCAGGACTCCGGTATCCTTCTTATCAGACACTTCGTATACAAGGTGGCCAGTTTTCCCAACAAAATCTCTCCACCATTTTTCAACAGGTCTGATGTTACCTTATCCTTACCAGCCGCTATGCCATCTTTGCATTCCCTCTAGGGATTTCTTTACTTCCCGTGACCTTACTTGTGGGGTGTCATTACTGCTTCTGACGATATCATTCTGGTTGACTCAGCTGCTGTAGAGATAACTAGTCATTAATTATAGTCGGACGCTCTCTCATCATCGGGATCATTTCCCAAACATTCCACTCGTGATGCACACCCTGTGATACATTTAGCTTAATTTCGTGGTAATGCACTGCTGTTGTTATATTGCCACTTTAGACGTACTTGTCATTTGCCTTCAGTGTACCTTAAAGACCTCGCCATGTCTGTCCGTCCAGAATCCTTCGGCGCCGTAGTGCACAGTCAAAGCGCAGGTGCACCATCTGTGCTGCGCCGTGCGAGAAACCGCATTGATCAACTCTGTTGGAGCACACTGTCCGTGCGTCCATCTGTCCATCTGTCTATCGCTCACTTGTGCTACTTGTGAGTTCAACATATACATTGTCGACTTCAAGGCCTAGCTTTGCTCACTTGTCATCATTCACTTCATGGAGATGCGAGAGTTTTTGTAGGTTAAGCTACACTGGCCGAGGTGTAGCAGTTTTGCGCAAACGTGAAGAGCAGTGACATCACAGGGCACACAGCTGGTGCGCTAGAGAAGGCCTGGAAGCTCCTGGGGTGACGTGTCAATAGTGGGCTGGCGCTTGACACGCATGAAGTCGCTGGCTCGCTAGTCCATCTGTCTGTCGTTCGTCTATTCGTTTGTAGCTCATGCTATGTATATCCTCGCATAGTTGGGCGAAGCCACGGCTAATTTTTTTTGTGTACAGGTTCGGCATGATGGCTGAGCAGCACTTCTATGCTGCTTGTAATCTCTAGGAAATGTATGTGATAGTGAATCGAGACTGACGGTCCTGTTACGAAGGCTGTCAGAGCAGCAGTAGCTAAGCACCTTTTTCTGCCACAACAAACACTTCAAAACTGAGGATTGATTGCAGAACAGCATGCGCCATACTAAGAGATAAATTTCACCGACGTTTCAGATGCACCACAATTGCAAGAGAGTAGTGCCAACAGCAATAAACAGGCAAGGCAGCCCTGCGGCTGCTGCAGCTGTGAGCGAGCGGGTGTAACAAAGTTTTTTTTGCAGTTTCTACCGGTGGCCGCTAGGTACAACTGAAAATAACTGAAAAAGATTATATTTCCTGTCCTTTTACTTCAAACCACTTTGTCGTGTATTTACAAATTTCAGAACTTAATCATTTATTCTGTTGCTAAACACCGCCCACACTGTGTAGCCTGTACTGATGATGCACAACTCTTCTGCATCCCTCTTGTCATTCCTGCCCACTTCTTTCATCTTATCTTACCCACACAAAGCACAAGCGATGGCAAAGTGTGTTATGCAGCTGTAATATTTTGCAATGCACAATGTAACAAAGAATCTGTATGCATGAAATCAAGGTGCACAGCACGCTGAAAATTCACAGGGCAAAACAAGTAGATACTTTATATAACATATTTACAAATAACAGTGCATGCTCCTGGAGTTGTGTACACAGGTAAATGTACAACCACTAATGAAAAATATAGAAGACATGCCTTAATTAAAATAAAGTCCATTTGAATAGGGTCTGCGAATTTCTGTCAACAAAACTACGTCGAAAAAGAAAGAAGCGGCAATTCTAGCAAGGTCCTCAGTTATCAGTTGAACTTTCAACTGGATCCACAATCCTTAGTCATTTGCAAATGTATTCTCTTAGACAAGAATACGCTGTCACTGACTCACAGATGACTAAAAAGTCCAACATGAAACATATTACAAATAACCAATCATTACAAATAAGAAATAAGCAGTCATTGTAAGAGGGTACATACAAATTGGAACACAACATGAAAAATCACCATCAATGATCAACAATCAAAAAAACAATGATCTACGTCTATTGGGATATTGTAATTTGCTTTGACAGTGTTCACAATTTCTTTATAAAGAAAGAGAATATAGAATGAGCTGGGATGTCAAACGCAACAATGAATAAAACACAATCTGCCTTGAAATATACAGAGAAACTGAGAATTTGCGTAATTGCAAACAAGGTGTGCAAAATAGGAGACTAGAATGCTGCATTTTAGTTATCACAGCTTCAGTTTCACCTTTTTGCTAGTTTTATTAGTAGTACACCCACGACAAGTATGTGTTTCTCCTGCAGTGAAAAAGGCATACACAAATAAAACAGGTCGAACGATAAAAGCTTTCAGATTGGTGATCTAAAGCAAGTGTCAGGCCTTATTTATAATTTATATTAGTAGCATAGAACAATTCATAAACGACCATTCGGCATTGCATAAGCATAGATTGTGAAAATTTGATTATCAGAGTTCAGACCTTCTATAGTAGTTATGCACTCTCCATTGGTGGTTGCCAAGCGATGTTCATACAGGTATTCGGCGTTTCAGAAAACCTTCCATTCAGTTCATACTAATAAACACAAGTGCTCAGTGAATAACCACATCAGTTGTTTCAAGTTGCACAATCACATTTGAGTGCAATTTGCATGCCGCTTAAGCAGGATTAGTATAAAAAATAACCTGTATGCACCTTGAAGAGTCCAAAGGGCTCAAACTCCTCAAAATTCTGCACTCTGTGCCACATTTCTGCAACAAAATTCTGCACTCTGTGCACATTTCCGCAACATGCTATTCTTGAGAGTGGAGACTGTCACAACAGCGTTGATGTGCAGTGCCGCCCGTTTCCAGCCATAGGTGACAGTGTCATTGCATTGAACAGACTGACTGGACGTCGAGAGTCTTGATACACCACGAACCCACTTGTAGCACACAAAGATCACAACGTAGAGTCTTTTGCACGGAGACACTATCAGCCGTGAGATATGTGCAGCTCCTCCATGCCCAGTCGGCCGTAGAGGCTTGTCATGCGGTATCGGGCGAGGTCCTTGCGCGTAACAATGCCAACGACCTGGAAGATGAAAACATTTGCAATATTTTGTGACACTTGTAACAGCAAAGCAGTTTAAGTCAGCTGCGAAAACTATGGTGTCTTCAAAAAGCTTCATCAGCATGAGCATAACTGTGCCACAGTAATTGGGCAAATCCCACTACAAACCATTGGTCCACTAAAAATTTTAAAGGCAGCAAACGGGAGGCAAAAATTAATGAAATTTTTAGACAGATGCAACCAGTAATTTAGATGAGCTTTAATAAACCACTGTGATTAACCCACTGATAAACACAATGGCCGCACGCTTCAGCACAGCTGAAGATGATTCAGTGGTAGAAACTAGAGAATAAAAAGGAACAGGAAAGGCAGCAATGGCTGCGAAAAGACCCCCCTATGTGATGGACTGTGCCTGTACATCTTGCCACTCTGTGAAATAAAGTTAGTTGGAAGTCAGCGCTCTTTCTGTCTACCCTGTCCTTTTTCCTTTGTTCGCGCGCTGAATGATCTTGCAAATATGACTACGCACCAACTAGCCCAAGCTTCCACTCTTGTGAGGCATACAACGTTGAGTAAAAAAGTTGTACAATGCTTGAGCTTCACTTGAGGAGTTAATAAGCCCAGTTCCCTTCTTAATCGGCTTGCTTTGTTTCGAGGTAGACACCTCAACCATGGTGCAAGAGAAGGAACGTCTATGCAAGTAACGGGGCCGTTTAAAACTGTCCTACCAAGTCTAGTGTACGAATGGATGCGAAGTGCCCACAGAGCCACGATTCTAGCGTTTGCAAATCACTTATGTATCCACTTTGCATCCATAAGTAAACACGTGAACCGATGCGGCTGCTCATTTTTTTTTTTTTCATGCTTTACCTGATAATGAAGATTAAATATGTCTGAGTGCTTTGTAATGGTGGGCATTCAAACTCGTCACCCATGCATTCGCTTCTCTTGACCTCTGGTGCAATTCTGTACACATGCCACACAATCTTACACGTGTTATTATTACATGACACTCGTAAAGTGTTTTTTTCCCCCTTATTCCAGTTCCAAGCAATGCTGTGGCTCCGTGGTAAAACATATGCTGGCCATGCGAAAGTCCTGGGTTCAATTTCTGCTCGAGTGTAAGTTTTTTTACTATTTAATTACTTGCATATATGTCAAGACTATGTTACACTTTCCCTTTGAACCAACATTGCCAACATAGACTCCAGAATTCCAGCAAAATGAGCTCTTTAATATAGAGCTGTGAAATTATCAAAATTTTAGGTGTGAAATGAATTTGCATATTAATGTGCCAGTGCGAATCAAAAAGAATATTTTGCCAATACTAGCAAGGTTGATGAAGCAATTGTGGGGTGGTGTTTCAAGTTGCCTTTTCAAGAATGAAGCAATGAAGAGGCCGAATTGCATTTATGAACAAAAGTGTTACTGACAACACCTCGTGTTATGGACAACTCGTGTCACGAACAAGGGTGCGCTCCTTTGTAGTCCAGAGTTCTAAATTCGCCTCATAGACGTCAATACACAAGAACATCTGAAACTTGGGATGTTAAAAGTGTTTGGCGTCTAATTTTTTGGATTTCCTGCCCAACGTCAGTTCCTAAACAGAATTAATTGCACCTCCACCTCTGCCACATCTATCATCTCCATGTTGGAACCAGCGCTTTCTTGAGTCAAGACATTTGCGACAGTCACATAGCCTAGAAAGCAGGTTCGCCACAATACAATAGTGTGATGGGATGAAGCATATTGAAAATCTGAAGAGGCCACTGCCAATTGAACGTTGACTGCGTTTGTCTTCAGGAAGTTCGAATAGTCCATTATTTGTGGCGAGTTCTTCCTGTGGGAAGTCCAGAGTTGAGGGGTTTACCTCACGGTTGATTAAACCTTTCACTACACGGGGGGCTGCCTCGTTCCCCGAATTCCTCGCATGAGTGGAAACCCATACAAGTTGCAGCTTATTGCTGAGTTTATTATTTAAAAGGATGTTGGCCACTATCGGCCCAACACAGCCCATCATGACACATATAATGAAATTACCGCATATTATAGAGAGGACCGCAAAACATACGCAGCTCAGCATGAACATCACGAGGAAACAGGCTATGATCTGCAGGCAAGTTCCCAGACTCAGTCCTCATCGCCTGTCTGAAAGTTTCGCGGACAAAATTTGGCCACACTGCCAACATCACGGCTGCTTGAAGGCTACCCAAAATCACATTTTTTGGGAATGAGAGGGGAATCCACCTCAAGAAACAATACTGCCAGCCTCCACCCTCGAGGCATGAGAGTCACTCCTGTCTGAGAAATGACCACCGTATTCAGGCAGAAGTTATTAATTGAGCCAAAAAAGTCGTGGTGACCTACTGGCCCTTTGGACCACCAGCATGCTAAGTTCAATGACCTCATTGTGCCATCAATAATGTTATTTCTCTCTCTCAAATAGCTCGAATAGCAAAATTGCAAGGCAAATTGAAAAGAACTAAGAAACGGTATTAGAAAAATATTCCAAAATTTCTAATTTTCAGACCTTTACTTTAATGTGATCAAGTCAAAACATAACTAAATATGAAAGCAAAATAACAGCTAAGAATGCACAGACAGGTGTTACAAACATATTATGACAATATATAATGCTGAAGAAAGTGTGTAAAAATAAGATGCAAAAAAAACGTAAAACAATTAAGTGAACCATCAGAGATACAAGATACAATTCAAATATTTCAAAGATACGATTGTGGAATTTAGTCAACTTCAGAATAATGTGAACAATAACTGCGGACGACAAAACCAGAAATTAACTCAGGGTACTGTTAGATAGAAGAAGCCGACATTTCAGGAGATGGTATTAGTACAGTATTATGAGTCAGTTTATTCTTCCACCCAGTTGTCCTCAAGAAAAAAGAAATTGTCGAAATAATTATTGCTTGATTATTGCAAGACACTCTACTATCATTACAGCCTCACCTGAAAATAAACAGTAATTGAAAGACATCTATGCTTTCTGTTATTGTGCCATGCTATCTGCAGCAATCCCACAGAGCCGTCACATAATTGCCACATCATTATCAACAGAATGTTGATCTGGTGACGAGAATCACTGAATATGCAAAAAATATACCACACTGATTAATGGCATAGCAAATGCAATGCATAGGTGCTGCCTCTAGCTATTTTTTTACTTATACTACATGAAAAAATAATTAGTGCAGTTGCACTCAATGAGCAAGCGGTAGGAAGTACAGGGCAGAGATTCACTTGTCCTTCAGCGACGAACTCAAGGAGCATGTGTTGAGGGGCTGGTTGATGACTTTATGTGAACTTAAACTGCATTAGGACCAGAACACCAGAGTAGAAGTAGACAGCATGAACACAGCCTGAGAGCATAGCTAAAGTATCTGCGTTCCTACAGCCATGCTCGCATTCACAAGCAAGTGTGCCCCGACATTGCAACCGTGCAGCATGCTAGGCCTTCGTGGCCTAGCAAGCTAGGAGGAGCTTGCTGACCACAGAGGAGAAGCCGCACGGTCAACTTCCTTTCCTCGATGTCCTCGTCAAGCGTGAAGGAGAAGGCACGTCATTCAGCGTCTAAAGAAAAAGCACCCCATACTCGCATTTCAATTCCGTGAACTTGGCTTCCCTAAAAAAATCTGTGGTCGCCCCGCTGATGAATCAAAGAGAGTTCGCAAAAAATCAGAAGACTTCACCGCCAACATGGAGAGTGTGCGTCGGGATCTCTCCCACAGTGACTCACCTGTCTCGTTTGTGCACTCTGTGGAACGTAAGCTAGCATGTTCGCCACGTCCTGGCCACTTGCGCCTAAAACATTGTGTTTCTGTGCCACATGCTCCTGGTATCAGCGAGCACCTCGCGCTTGTTGTGTGCCCCTCCCATGTGCAGAAATCACACGCGCCAACTAATAAGTTTAGGCAGTCCCTTGTGAGAGTAAAGACAAGCTGCCAAAAAAAAAAAAAACACGCATTGTCTACAGTATCCCGTGCGGAGACTATAGAGGCAGTCACATCAACGAGACAGGTAATTTTCCGCAAAGGCTAAAACGACGTATGCATGATGTAAGAAAAAAGAAGGTCTCATCAAATTCACCGGCCAACAAGCGGAAACCTTTGAACACAAACTAGACTAGGATAATGCAAGAATAACAGAAAGAGAAAAGAACCGGTCATCTTGCCTCCATCTCGAATCTATCACAATCCAGACAATGGCAAAGACACTCAATCAAAATGACGAAAGCTTTCCGCAATCCTACACACGTTGCTTTCGTCACATTTTGTAACATACATAACCAGACTGCTCACACACTCCTTTCTCACTTGTGAACAAGGCTCCCGTATGGGGGCTGAAGAGTTCCTTTTATTTGCTTTTATCGTGGTCAGCGTATTGCTTTAATTGTGTTCATGTATGTTCTCGACCAGACGGGTTGCCGTCCAACTACTGATTTCAGAGATAACGTCGATGCCTCGAGCATGACATATATCAGGCGTGCCAAAGCTCTTCATTGGCTGCATGTACGCAACTGGTAGCAATCGAACGGGCCACTTACCATGTTACTGCCATCGACGACAACAAGATGCCGAAGACCAAGAGCTCTGAACAGCTTGAAAATCCTTGGCAGTGATGCATTCTGATGATCATGCACAAAAATGATGTACAGCTCGTTAACATTCCAGATATGGACAGGCTTATCAGACCACGAAGAGCAAGATTACTTCTCATCAGGGCAGGAAAACTTTCGAGATGACATACACGTGATAAATACGATTTGCAACAATGTGATGAAATAATTTGTAAGAAATAAAATATGCCTCGCATGATTTAAATTGACTTCACAAATCCTTATTGCAGCTTGAGCAGAAGACAGCCCAATTGTAAAAAGCAGCACTTCATTCTCCAGCACGAGCATAAGGTCCATATGAAATAATCATTACACTTTGGCTTGTTGCAACATGTGTACACTTTTTGTACACGTAAGTACAAAAAAAGGGGGGGAAGACTCATAGGGCTCGTTTCTTTACGTTACACAACATAATAAAACCTACTGACAATGAAGCTAAGAAACTTATAAGAAATATTAGTTGATGTTCTATTTGTACAGTCAACTCTCGATAATTCAAAGTCGTTAAGGTGGAATTTTCAGTTAATTAGAAGTCAACAAGTGAACCCATCAATTTTGCATACACGCCTATAAGAAAAAAATGCTCGACAATTCGAAGTTAAAAGCCCGTAATGTTGGTTAATTAGAAGTTAATTTTCAGTTGAGAGCCTCAAGGTGACTGTAATTCTTCAATTATATGGGGGAATTTATCATGTGCCAACACCATGAAGATGGCTGTTGGACAACACTATTGTCGCCACCGCCACCGCCTGCCGTGCCACGGTTTATGAAGCGGCTATCTTGTTTAGTGAATACTGGGGCATCGCATTGATCGCATCGGCTAACTAGGTCTTGCATGGTGATGTGTCAAGTGCTTTAGCTGCACGCTGGATTGAAGTTATAACAGTGTGACTGGACCCTGGTGGAAAAAGGCGCTCAAGCACACACACAGCGCCATGTGTGTGTGCTTGACTATTTTTTTACAGAACTGTCAGCTTTGAAGCAATGAAAGAGCAGTTTTTTGTGCATTTCGCTTAATTGGAAGTTTGTTCAATTCGAAGTGTCTTGCAGTTCCCGTAAACTTTGTATTAACGGGAGTCGACTGTAGTATAGTAATTATGACATAAAAGGAAAAAAAATTAAGAGGGTGAAAAATACTAGGCATAGGCAGGCAGACCAAACCTACAGCATTTGGATAACGCATCTAATACTCTACTAATTGAACTACTCTGGTAGTTGCTTTACGGTCCACCTTATTGGGTATTTGTGTTTTCATGTAATCCTGGAGCATTAGCCAGTGCTGCTTGCAGCCATGATGGCAATTGTGGAACACTTTTTTAGTTGCCAGCTGGCGTTCCATATAATGTGATCTTATTACAAACTGTAGACTCGCCAATAAACTCTCGCATATCGCCTGCCCTCGCATATCTCACATACTGCTTGAAGGAAAAAACAGCTGGAATACAGTATGAGGATGCACCCTCGCATGTTGTCTGCCAGAACGATACCCTTACTGTGAATGAACAAAAGTTAGGGGACTGATCGAGGGCTCTTTTCATTGCATTTTCCAGTTTCGCCTAACACGCAACTTCCAACACAAGCCTTATAACAACTGGTACACAAGCGCTATTGCATTAGTCATCATCATCATCCTGACTATGCCCACTACACAACAAAGGCCTCTCCCATGTTCCTCCATTCAGCTCGGTCCTGTGCCTGTTGCTGCCACTTTGTACCCACAAACTTTCTAATCTCATCTTCCCACCTAACTTTCTGTCTCCCCCTCTACTGCTTGCCTTCTCTGGGAATCCGGTCGGTTACCCTTAATGACCGACGCTTATCCTGCCTTGCGCGCTACATGCCCAGCCCACGACCATTTCTTCTTGATTTCAACTATGATATCCTTAACCCCAGTTTGTTCCCTGACCCACTCTGCTCTCTTCTTGTCTCTTAAGGTTACGACTATAATTTTCCTTTCTATCGCTCGCTACGTCGTCCTTAAGTTGAGCTGTCCAATTTAGCATCAGTAAATACCTCGGAACATGACAACTGTGACAAGGATCAAATCCACAATTTTTGCTACTGTAGCCGGTGATTGCCAATATTGCAAGCAAGGCTGGTGTGTGAAAGTGGGGTTTGTCTTATTAATACCAATGGCTCGAGAAATTGCAGCTCAAGCTTGGTGTTTAAGGGTTTATTAATATTAAAAAATTATTCATGCAGAACGTTTTTTGCGAGTTCTATAAGTGATGCATTTCATTGTAGTTTTCTTGCAAATAAACTAACACTTGCCCAAGCTGCAACAAAAAAAAAATTATGGCGTTTTGAGACCCCACGAGTCCCTTGCTTACATACAAGTCAATGAAGTTGGACCGTGCCTATATATGCGTAATAGATGGCGCAATAATGTGGTTCGATTTCCCCATGAGAAATTAAGTGTGTGAGGCGTCGACTGCATTAGTAACAATGCCAACTAAAGTGAGATGACAGGAGTTTTGCTGAGTCTATTACAGCCGTGGAATTTCAATCAATATCATCACCTGAGTTAAAATAATGTTCAGCTACTGCGTTGGTGGCGGCATGTCCCTTAGCTACGTCCTTTTGGAGCTGCTTTATACACCGTTTGAAGTTGCTTGTTTCTCCTATGCATGATGCGTGGAAGTCTGGACAAGATATCTTATAATACCACTCCAGAGTAGCATTCGTGTTACAACGGGTCTTTGACATCGACAAGCTGACTTCTGAATTTGTGCGAGGGCACATGTGCACATTGTACGCCATAGCTCCTGAAAATTCTTGCAAGGGTTTCGCTTATCCCACGAGCATTATAGAATGAGTGCAGTTGCCATGTAGTCAGGCGACTTACTTCAAGAAGGTCCTCTGGAGCAGAGTTACTGTTGATGCAGTAGCCGTTGCCTGTGAAGCCATGCTTCACAGGCAAAGGTTCAGGCTCTGGCACAGGAGCGAAAGCTTGATTCCGTTTATTCATTTATTTCTTTATGAAAGTGACTGTCTGATGTGAAAGGCATACATATGGACAGTTTTCTCGTTTAGTCAGCATAGAAATGCTCACGCATTTAAGATTAAACAATTGAACTCACGTGAGACACTGTGTAGGCAGCCGAGTTCATGAAGGGCTGAAGGTCCATGTTGTACTCGCGCTCCCGAACAGAGACGTGCACTTGCTGTTCATGCAAAATCAAAAAAACAAGTGGTCATTACGCTGCAAACACAGTTACAGTGAAGCAAAAGACCCTAGTGAAAAACCACTGATGGCTAAGAGTGGACCAAATGAACACAGTGCTCGTCACGTCTCAAAAATCCACATGTAGTTTGAATAAAACTACGCAAAAATAAAGTGCTCTTTGTAGGTGAAGCACTGAGTTGGAATAAATAAGCGTAATGCTGGATTTGGGTAGCGTGCTATCTATGTTAGATTACAAATCGGGTCACGTACAGCGCCATAGTTGTTCGCCGCCGCCACTGCCGGCATCCGTAACCACACCGCATGAAGTTAGGAAAGAAAAAGACCTAGTACCAATGACAAAGTGGGGCTCGAACCCAGGTCCGCTGGGTGCCAGCCCAGTATTCTATCACTGAGCCATGCCAGAGCTTGGGACTTGTTGGCAAACTTGCCTTAGGCAGGCTTGATGTCGGGAAAGCAATCACGTTAATACCACTTATAAAGCGTTTTAAAACAGCTAAATAACAATCAGTCGTCGCAAAATGTGATTAGCATATCAAGTGGGCCGTTCAATGCTCCAACACTTTACAAAAGCTTGTTCTTGTTCAGCTTTTAACTGTGGCACATACCCACACTTCAGGCATAATTCCTCATTGTCATCAGCCACTGCATGAACAATTGGCACAAAATTCCTCGCAAGTGTTGAGCGGATACCATGCCTATCAGAAAAATGATGAAAAATGCCGAATGCGCTAACATTTTAATTATTAATGACGTAGTGGGCATCAAGCAAGTGTGCTTGCAGCAGTTATCCAATGAGTGATTAGAAAAGGCTCTGAAAAGCTGCTCTTCTAGCTTTCACTGTAACTGTGCTGCGCCTTCCGCCCAGGCCTGGCGTTTTTGGCCATGCCATCGTCCAGTGAAGCATAGCACAAATTACAGTAGCAGAAGTACCTGCAGCAAAAAGAAAATGCAGTCTATGCGCCAGCTCGCTCGTGGGAAAATTTTAAGGGGTTTTACATTCATCCGGTTGTTGAGTGCATACCCACACCCTTTATGCAGAGGGTTCTAATATTAAGGCATTCAACTACAAATACCAAAGAAGTAAAGAGATGCGAGTCAAAGGCTTGCAATCACCTGAATAGTCGGGTAGCGTGGGTATGCATCTCGAAAGTTGGAGAGCCGCAGTCGCCGATGGCAGGCTCCGTCAGTGTCACTCTGGAACATCTAGAGGGGCAAGTTTGTGTGTGATTATTATGCTTAGACTAGCGATGAATTCAGTTTATTCTAACACATAAAGGCAACTATGGGCCCATGAATTGGGACATGTTTGCAATATGTGTGTGCAACTTTGATGGCGAGAGGTTCCCACAGACAAAACACAATAAAGAACTTAGAAAAATAAACATTATCGCTTTATTTTAGAGGTGATCGTGGCTGCTGCATTTTTTTTTTTCATTTCTTCATTGATTTTGATTAGACTCGCTGAGTTTATGTTTATGTATTTGTGTGCCGATTCCAGTATGCATTATGTTTAACATATGATGAGTAGCTTTTGAGAAAACCAAATATTTGATGTTCATTTTTAGGAGAAAAATTTTTGCTAAAGTGGGAGAGTTACAAATTATATCAGCTTATCTCAGTATTCTGGCACCAAAACTGCATGTAGTGCAAGAAGAATGGATGTTCTTAACCCGCCTGAACAATACTTACGATATAAAGATTTGCAAGTGAATCGGTCAAGCTGAGATTTTCAGAAATAAGCATTCAACATGCCACTTATTATGCTTAAATGAATTTAGAACATTCACTTAAAATTGCATTGCGCACAGTTTTGATCCCAAATCATAGAAATATGCCACTTTATTTTGTAAATATGCGTTATCTACTTGAACAATTCTCTCATACTTGAAAGCAGCACACACATATACAGAAGCTTGACAAGTTTTATCAAAATCGACAAAAAAAATATAAATTTTTAAGAGTAGCGTCTAAACCAAACTTCAAATATTTTGTAAATTGTAAGGTCTGACTCGACTGAATTCCCACCTTGTACTGAAGAAGGACAATAAGCTGCCACCGAAGAATAATGCCCCGGAAACGGCCAAACGAATGTTCTTCACCAGAGCGCTCCTGAAATGAGAAAGGTTTATGGAATCCTGGCTTGAAATTGTTACTATTTCTCTTATCATCAATATGACAAAGACTGCAAATAACAGTGCTATAAAAGGCACAAGCGAAAGACAAGTGCCGTGCTTTCATGGGCAGAGCTGACATTTTTTTAATATAGCTGAGTATACTTTGATTTGGAATATGCACTGTATGAAAACAGGTCTCACACACAGAATATAGACCAACCACACACAAAGATGCAGATGCGAGTGCCAAGTGCCAAAAATAACGTCTGGCATCTTCATGCATTTACTCACATTATTCTGTGTTTGAAACGTGCCGTCTCGCACGACAGCTTTAGCACAGCAACAAGAAAACAAACCTCAGCCGTGTCCACCACGGGGAATCCATTGTGTGGACAAGAGGCTAGCACGTCTATGATCCTGCCAACATTCTCCACAGTCCGGAATGTGACCACAGGGTAGCCCATCACCTCCCTGAACAGTTGCAAGTCAGTTATAGACATTAGCATCATCATCATCATTTTAAGTCTGTTTCGTAACCACTGCAGGACTAAGGTGTCTTACAATAATTTCCCATTTACTCTAATTTTGAGCAAGACTATTACTGCATTTACACGTTTTTAAGTAAACTTAAATGTAGGTCGACCCCCTAAAATTGCATGACAAAAAAAAAAAGACAAGCGCGAGGACATTTCATACAAAACATTCACTTCATATGTCGCTAAAAAACAATTCGTTGTTCAAAAAGAGCTCCACAGCAGTGTTTAAAGCTATGCAGCAAAGCTAGCTTTTAGGCAATACACGGAAGTCAATTTTAGAAAACTTGCCATGAATCGTTGCTGAGGGTGCAGATTAGTATACATAAAAAAATATGGTATAACTTACAGGTAGAGCCGAAATGCAAACACTATGTTGTTACCATGCTGCAACATACCTGATTTCTTGTTTATTTGAGTTTTGGTACCAAGTCAACCCCCAACTTCGGATTTCCAACTTACTACATAAAACGAGTCGACAAACTACTGTACAAATCTGGTGCATTCTACTCCCGCAAACTTCTTGATTTTAACTTTCCACCTAACTCGATGCTGTTAGCTTCTTTTCCTTACTCTTTGTATCCATTTCATTGCTCTGGCTGACCTCTGATAACCTGTCGAATACATTGCGTGGCTGGCCCAAGTCCATTTTTTTCAATATCAACTAGAATATCTGCCACCTCTGTGTCTCCCAACCAGTGCTTCTGTCTTCTGATCTCTTAAATGTTATGTCTATCATCACACAAGATATAAAAAAAGAAACTCACCAATGATTACAATACCCCCCCCCCCCCCCAATGCAAATTCTGAGCGCTGCTTCATGTTAGGGCAATGCCAACTATAATTGAAGTTTGGCTATCCACAGCTGTATACATTACGCACTGCCGCAGAAAGTGCCAACACTGGAGTGTTGCACACACTACTCTGTGCATTGCAGGTGCTGTGAATTAAGCAACACACCGACAGCTCCATTACACGATTGTTCAGCGAACTGGGAGCGCGGGGGTAAACACAGACACAAAGCAAAGAGGAGCTCTATTACAGCAACCAAGGTCAGCCGCAGTGCTAATGCAAGCCCTGCATGTGGTCTCTTTCATTTTCGTTTCTTTCACTTCTTTCTCATACTTTCTGTGTTTAATTTTTTATCTATGTTTCTGTCTGTCTGTCAGTTTTATCGTTTCATTTTTGTGTCTTTTTTTCACTTTTTTTTGTTTCTCTTTCTTTGTCGTCTCCTATCTCTTTCTTCGGTATTCTCTGTCTCTCTATATTTTTGTCTTTATTCCCTTTATTTTTCTCTAGTTTTTTCTTCTCTCTCTCATTTATATGCATTCATTTCCATTTTACATTTACTCCTGTTATTCAAAATAATGGGCCTAGCCCAATTCTTAAGGCACGTACTCGTTCGCTCGGTTATGCCACGGAGGGCTATGGCGACACTACTGAATGCATGAACTGGCACCTAAGAGCTATGCCTTAAAATAAGAGATTATGGGAAGTTCATAGTGTGAAATCAACACAAGGGCTTTGAAGGATATTGTACTTTGAGGAAAATCTTGAGACTTTGTATGGCAAAACTGCGAAGTAATCTCAATGCACCAGCTTATGCACATCTTAGCTCATTAAGAATAGAGGAAAGCTAACTAGGCATAACAAGCGTGCAAATGATAAAATTTTATTTTGTGTCAATTCTGAATCAAATAGTGCCGAATAAGAGCCAGAATGATGAATATAAAATACAAAAATAAATTAAAGATTAAAAAAGGAAAAAAAAAAACAAATCTGCTCAGTTCCTCAAGCACATATCGTGGTGAGCGGGTGCCATAGAAAACCACTGGCTGTGACCACGTGATATCAGGCTCTCTTGCCATGATGTTACAGTCTTTCTGGCAGTTGAAAACATGTGCTTATTGGGCACCTCAGTAGCAGGAATGGGAAGCCATCGCAAAAGCAATTTTGGCAGTACCAGGATAAGACACTGTGCTCTTTCCAGTAATTCAAAAAATAAAAAAATAATGCTTTCTCGAGATCAGGCACACATTAAAGTAATCTTGAACCTCTTGACCACGAAAACTGAGCTGGGTATGCTGGTTATTTCTTGTGCGAGGCAGTTTGATAGTCTCCCAGTATATTCCCGCTGAGGACATAATGTACGAAAATGACATAATTTTCTTTAGGATTAACATGAGCTCAATTTTGAACAAACAAATCGGTGATGAAAGTTTGAACAAAAGGCTCATTGTAATGACATTAGCGTTAGCTAGCAACCTTACCTTAAAAAAGTTGCACCACTGGCCTTAATCACATTTTAGATATTCATCTTCTCAAAAATTAGGTTGAATGGTCAGGTTAGGTATCCTTCAATTCGAATTCAAAACTTGTATATTTGCACAGCTTTACTAGGCACACATGACAATGCAGGTAGAGAAAGCATGTGCAGCTTTGTGGCAAACAGTTGCCCTTGTTAAGGGGACAGACTGGTCTTTGAGACCAAAAAGTGACAAAAAAAGTCATTTTTGAAATTGACGTATTTGGTTTCTGCAAGTATTTTTCTATCTCTCTGCAAATTTTCGCGCACTGAGACGTAGTAATTTTCTTGTAATGTCATTCTAACTGTCCAGATTCTTGGTACTGTTAACATGCAGAACCTGCAAAAAAAATGGGGAACCGACTTCGAGGCTTCTTTATAATTCGCCTGTACCTGTGTTAGAAGCTCTGCTATGAATTTATGAGCACCTTTATGAGGATTGAAAATCGTGCACACCATGATTGTCGCTTTTTGAAGAAGCTGTGTGTTTTCAGTTTTTTCCATTTTTCTCAGTAAAGTAAATGTACGACTGTTCAATTTTGAGGCCTCAATATCTCAGCAGCTAGGGCAGGTGCAACAATAATTTTTTTTGCAATCGAAACCTGTGTGTGTGTGTAGAGTGCAAGTATTAGAGCATAATTTAGAGCACAAGCCCTTTTAATTATATTACTCATCAAAATTGTAACACAATTCCAACTGCTTTTGAAAATGAATAGTTCATTTTGCTATAAAATAACCAAGAAAGGCCTAAAAACAAAAAACTCTTCCATAGTTGCAATCTATAGTCATCAGTCTATGTTGGCATATCCTAAATATCACTTTCAATTAAGCACTTTTTTCTATGGAGGCCATAAACAATAGGATGTGAACTTAAGTTATCTAAGGAACAAGATGAGTTACAGTCGCCGACCGATTTTTCGGACCTGGCGGGGACCGAAAAAAAGTACGAAAAATCGAACAGTCCGAAAAATTCGTTTTCGCAAAAAATCTGAAGTTTATTGCATCAGGCAGGTTTAAAAAAGTCCTTGATGCTGCCTTGCCTCAAACTACGCTTGGAGGCAATTTAATTTGCCCGTATTTGCGCCAAGGTGACATCGTCGCCGTAAACGCTCGACAAAATTGTCACCGCGTTGGCGATCTCCGACGGCTGCGGGCGGTCGTCGTTGTTATCCGACGACAACGACGACCGCCATCCGGCGTCGACCGTCATCCAGCGACATCTAGCTGCGAACGTCCACTCTCTATTAGCTTGATTATGGCAGCTTTCTTCTCCATCGTCAGGGTCGTATACTTCCCACGCTTCTTCACACCACCTGGCTCCCGCGATGGCACAGATAGCGGAGCCATGGCACCGAGAACACAAAATTCGATGCCGCAGATAGCCGCTGCGAAGCACACAACGTCTCGACGCTACGCGACACAACACGTGCAGAATGGCGACTGATAAAAGCTGCAACGACAATAAAAGAATCCTTCTTTCGCCTCCTCCCCGTGCGATGTTATGACGATAGTGCTGACCGAAGACGAAAAAACGGCATCCATCACCGCGTCTTTTAAAAAGCAAACACGGCCTCCGAAACTTAAAACATGGCGTGCGCATTTTAACCTCGGAGGCAGGAAAGGCATCTGAAGACCAAGCTTAGCCAAGCCGACAAAAAATCCAACATGGCGGCGTTCACAATGGCTTGGAGCGTGACACAAAACGAGCGATTTAGTCCGAAAAATCGAACTTTCACGGGCAAATTCGCCCGAAAAATCGGTCGAAACAATGCATTAGCTCTATGGAATCCCTGACGGTGCATTTATGAAGTCCGGAATATCCAACAAGTCCGAATTTTTGGAGTCCGGAAAATCGGTCGGCGACTGTATAGGAAAACTAATTAAATATTTAAAATCAGCAGAAAAAACTGCATAGTACTGTGCAGTTTGATCAAGATCACTGAAGAAATAAACAAAAATTGTCTAAGACCAGTCTGCCCCCTTAAAACAGCCACAAACCACATTCTATGTTCAACAAATATGGTATGCTCCACAAATATGTTATGCAGCATACGGTAATCTCAAGTGAAAAATGAAGAAACCAGGAACATATGTTTAATTTAACAGGGCTTCCATTAATAAAAAGGTGAACAGGGCTGCAGAATAAAAGCCCGAAACCAATCATTTTAGAGACAGTTCCATTTAAGCAGCTATTCTATCTAAAAGATTTTAATTCAAACAGAATCTTAAGGGGTTCCAAAACAGTTCTTTATACAAGTGATTCACTATATAAAGAATTGCATACATTATAAATATATTCATCGGCATTTATTTTACAACTGCCCCGCCGCGGTGGTCTAGTGACTAAGGTACTCGGATGCTGACCCGCAGGTTGCGGGATCAAATCCCGGCTGCGGCGGCTGCATTTCCGATGGAGGCGGAAATGTTGTAGGCCCGTGTGCTCAGATTTGGGTGCACGTTAAAGAACCCCAGGTGGTCGAAATTTCTAGAGCCCTTCACTACGGCGTCTCTCATAATCATAAGGTGGTTTTGGGACGTTAAACCCCACATATCGATCAATCAAATCATTTATTTTACAACTGCTCGATATACAGTAGACTGTGAGCAAGCAGAAATGGACTATAAAAATGTGT